CGGGGCCGCGAAAAGAGGAGAAGGAGCACGTCCGGTTACTCTCCGGCCATTAGAGACGGGAGGAGCCAGCTCAACTGCGACGGCGCTAGGTTCTTTTGGGAGGTGGCGACGCTGGTCGAGGAGGAGGAGGGGATCATGGGAGGAGAAGTTGCGGTAACGGAACCATTTACGTAGGGGTGCGGGTGGTATCGATCGAGAGATAGCATGTACCCGTTTACGGAGGCAGCCGATTACAGCTTATATGAAACAAACACGTGTAACGTCTTCCGATTACACCGTAAACAAGTAACGTGGATTTCTCCCCGAAACAAACACCTCCTCTGTTGTACTAGTATAAAAAGTTTCACGAAGAAAAACAAGCGTCGTCTTCAGGGAAAACATAAATAAAAATTTTGAGGACAAAATGTGTGAATAGTAACTTGTATATAGTGTTGTTTAGTTTTTTTCCCATCCAGAATACCATGAAAGTCAATCCCTGACGGAACTTTTTATATGAGTACAACAGAATTCCTTTACAGGCATGAACCAAACTTTTTATATGAGTACAACAGAATGTCAAGTTTGTTTCCAAAGATGTTTCAAATTCGTTGAACTTTTTTTTCGCAATTACTAAATTACTTTTTCATATCAGATGCATATACACCCGAGAGCCAAAGGTGCTTGTCCTTTCTTGAAGGCTATTCTAAACAGTTCTGTATTACCTCTGAAGAAACCGTATACTGTTCAGATAAGAAACTAGAGCTGAGCTGCCTTAGCTTATACTTGGCCATCAAGCATGTGAGCAAATGTTTTTAGCAATAGTAGTTAGGGTAGCTTCCCAAAAACATGTCTTTTAGTGCTTAATTAGATCTCTTTTAGCTCTGTAGAGTGTAAAAATCCGCAACGTGTCAAGCATCATGTTGTAGTATAAAACTATGGTGAACAATCACGCAAGAGAGAAAAGCTTTAGCAAAGCTAACTGCACATTCTCAAAGCACAGCCTCAAAAGAATACAAGGACTGTCCCTCTCAAACCTTTTAAAACTCTGATTCTTACCCCAGCCCCACACAAGAATCTAATCCTAAAGAACATAACCTCTTATCCTCTCAAGCCCTGACAATTGTTTCTTCCTTGCTCTGTCCTTGGGTGTGGTTGCTAAATTATTGTTCCTTGCGTGTCCTCCTTGCGCAGCAAGTAGAACTCCTTATTAATGTAGGGCTCCTAGCTCAAATTCAAATAGGACTGGGATATGAGTCACACCCTGAACGACCGTCCTTTTATTCAACGTGCTCTCTTTTCAGGAGTATATGTGAGTTGGCTAAGCTGTTATAACACTTTATGGATGTAAATTTCTTCAGGATTTGGTAACTCAATGATGTCCAGGAAATATTTGTGTTATCAGTGGTATTAATTATCAGTGGTATTAACCTGGGGCTGGACAACCTTTGTCTGTTGTGAAGAGCACCAACAGAATCAGAATGCTGTTAGATGTTATTTCTGTCCTATCGTTTGTTGAATGGACTAAGAAAGAGATTGTTGCTTGTAGTATTGGTACGATGAGGTGAAGTTTGAACATCAACTAGTTTTTAACTCTTCCCACCATCTCTCCTTGGCAGTTGAGAATTTTGGTGTTTTGGTTTCCCTGTGCTGAATATAGCTTTGACTTAATGAAATTGTGCTCTATACTGTCATGTAACATTGGATGTATACGGATAGCTGTTGGCCCTAGAAATACTGGCTAAATCTACAAATTTGTTAGAGATCAAGTCCCTCTGCTCACACAAAACCTTTGCCACTTCCACTATTTCTCCCCATCATTTTCTCTCCTTGTTCAACATGATATCTGGTAGCGACGCAACTACGTAAAGCACATTCCGATTGGATACTAATATATTTAATATTCCCTTTCGAAATATACTCTATACTGCATCGAGACGAGTTTCACTTTCCCTTTGAACATCATCTCGTTTGCTAGGCAACAAGCCTGATACTTCGTAGAACCATTGTTGTCGGGGCTCTGCAGCTTATCACCAACAATAGCAGTACCATTTACTTCACTTCAAGTCCGCTTTTGATCTAAATTATTTATTTCCTTTTGTGCTAGTTTCTGCAAGTGGAGGCGGCAAGCTAGAGACAGCAACTGCATAATTTGCAAGAAAATCGTAAGTTGTACAAATACATACTCTTTCTATTATTCATGAGAAAATGACATATATATCACTCATTCTTACTATGTAATTAGATAATGCGTCCTAACTTTCTTTCTGAGTTTCCCCGTTGCTCAGATTCACATGTTTTTCTTAACATTTGCTGAAAGTCATCTATAGAAATATTTGAATCCAGGATATAAAAATTTAATTGGTTTAGAGCTGCTTTATCTGCATGCAGATGACAACAAGAAAATCACAAGTTGCACAAGATACTTTATATTCATGAGAAAATGACATAGATTTCTGTATATATTTATATTTGTCCACAGATCATTTTTAATAGATATGTATCGGTACTTTGTAGTAGACCTTAGTGCTCGTGCAGTTTGCTCAAAATTAACATGATTTGTCGAAACATTGTTGAAATCAATCTATAAAGATAAGAATTCCGGGTATGATAAATTCAGTTGATCTGGAGCTGCTTTATCTGCATATGAATCACAAATGCTGCTGACAGATATGTGTGTATTGTACACCCGAGAACCTGACTTACTTGAAGCTATTTTAATGCGGAAATGGTTGAAGCAGTCCTGGAGTATTGAGGAACAAATTTTGTACTCCCTCCGTAAAGAAATATAAGAGCGTTTAGATTACTAAAGTAGTGATCTAAACACTCTTATATTTGTTTACAGAGGAAGTATTTAATATGAACTTATAGATAAATTTGTTCCTGTCATTCATGAATTCATAATATTGATGTGGCGGTAATGTTTACTCCCCTCAGGTATTATTAGGTGTATTTTAATTGTCAAAGTTTATGCGTTGACCAAGAACTATAGTACAATTATATGCGGGTTACTTGATGCAACATTTGTAGCATTTGATTTGTATTCTGAAGTAGTTCCTTATGATTGTGATTTCTAACTATTAACAAAAGATCGTAGAAGAAGCTTGTGGTGAAAGTTTGAATTTTGATAAAAAAGATACGCGTTATGTATCCAGAGCTATAGGGACCCATGGCATAGAGTTCCAGGATATATCATTATTTTGCTATTAATCCTTTAGCTAATCAGGTGAATATTGGTAACCAACAATCTTTGTTTACCGTGATGTATGAACGGACAAAGTATTTCCACCTGTTAGCTAAGCTATAGTGGCTCTCTTGCCATAGTATTTATTTCCAGTTAATTTCTCTGTGCCCGAGTGATACTTTTTATTAGCCTTTGCGAACATGCAAGCAGTGGCATACTTAGAAATGGAGAAATGTAAACCCTGTCACACACCACAGAACTTTCTAAGAATGATGGCAGAAAAAAGCGGTAACTGAATTTTGCTCAATCCACACTTCACACCTTTTGTCAGTAAGCTAGCTGCTCATGCAGTTGAATAAACTCACAGAATGTGTTAAATTGTTCTAATACAACCATTTGCACAACAGATTAATCCTTCCATGGAGTACATTTTATTTGTAACAGATTTACACTACCGTTTATCAATCGGTCGTCACATGCGAACCACTTATGTCTTGCTATTGGTTTAGGTTCTTTACAACCAATAGTATTCTGGCTGCTCTGAATTGTATCCCTTGATAATAATAATAACAAGAGTAATCCCATACCCCACGATCGTCATGGATGTAGTTGCAATCTGCAAGATTTAATGTAAGTCATAATCAAAGAAATTTGTGATTGAAACTTATAAAGAGCCGAGAAAAGAGTCAATAGATCCCGTGCAGAAAAAAACAAACATGTACCCTAGTTTAGGGGGCGCAGTATGCTCAACATCATTTTGTTGCTGCGGGGAATTGAGTTCAAGATCAACAGAAACATTGGCATCTTCAACAACTGCAAAATTGTATGGAGTTCTTGAATTTCGGTTAACTTCAGTCACTGCCTCCGTCTCAGAGAGCTGAATAGAGAATTAAACAAAAGTCAATCATGGAAATCATTCGTGTGATTTCAACTATCATGATTAATTCAATACCTTTTTCTGTAACTCAACATTTTCCTGACGAATTAGGTTAATCTTTTTGTATAATTCCATGTTTTCTTGGTGGACAAGACTCCCCTGCAAATAAATGAATAGTCAGTTTGTTGAAATATTTCATACGTTTCAGGCTGGTAAATGTTGTAGTACCTTGTGATTCAGTTCATGAATCTCATCAATCAAGATTTGGTCCTGAAAGAAACATTAGTGCTCCTCTGTTAGTCTTTTTGGAGGAACCTGTGACGTGTATATATAACAAGTGTTTTGCATGTTGACCTTTTTTGTCCGGATGCAACGCAGACTTATTTCCAGTTGATTTTCTAGAGCCTGCAGTTCCTTGACACCCATTCCAGAAAGATCTTGTCCCATCAACTGCCTGCAATTAAACAATGTTGCGCGTGTTTTGACTGAATGTATATAGGGAACATTTCAGAATATTTCCATAGCCTCTGATCCAACTGTGAATTAGTGAAATGTTGTATTTCAATTTATTACTCCCTCCGTCCCATGATATAAGAGCGTTTTTGACACTACACTAGTGTAAACAACACTCTTATATTATGGGACGGAGGGAGTGGATCTGTGTAAGTTTTATCTTTTTCAGGTAGTTACGGTCTTACGGATTAGGCTTCTGTAGAATGCAACTGTTGATTTTCTGCTGGGTGGGGGTTTGACAAACCAGAGTGCTCTGACAGTAACAGTAAATAGCTGAAGTTTTTTGAACTGGTCATTGGTTTGCATGGGAAATTACTAACTTAATTTCATCTTTATATTTCTTTCATTTCTAGAAGTCAAAACTGACACCCACATAAACAGAGGATTGTTCTGTGGAGTCAGCATACCTAGTTCCCACAGAAAATATTGTACTCTTGTGCGTTTGGCTTATTGTCTATGAAACCAAGTTTCATCTTTACATCCAAAGGCTATCTGCTTTCGAATGCAATAATTTGTCACAAAATTAAATATTCTACACAGTGAATAGCTATTAATGCATGGACTCTGTTGTGCATTTTGAGTTTTGTATCCTTCGTAATTGAGTATCATGAATTATTTTCTTGAAAGAATTAAGTTTCTTTTATAGCACATTTAAAGATTGTAGTTGCTGGATGGTGTACACTTGTGCTGATAGCGCGGTACTCTTATAAATTTGACAAATTTCTGATAAATAAATACGGAAAATTTTCAGGTTTTCGGGCCATACCGATGATTTTCTTGCAAGTTGTGCAGTTGTTGTCTCAAGCTTGCTGCCTCCCTTTGCCAGAACTATGGAATTTGAACTTACAGTTAAGTAATGCCACATCAGGTTTGCCAAAAGTATTAAAATAGACATGGTGCATAGAAAAGCATGATTGCCCTATCACTATCAGTGTCATGAAAGTACTGAATCACATGGTAATATCTGCAACTTTATTTGACTGGGTATAATTCATACAATAAATGTTGAGAGGACAAATAGGTTATAGGATAAAATATAATGCAAGTGGGAAACCTTTGGTTTTGTTTCCTTCGGGTACTTCACTCCAATGACTGTCAAGGTGCACCCAAAAAAAGTGACTTGGTGATATCAGGTTGAACATATATTTATACACCCCACATGATTTGTTGTCTTATGCCATCTCTAATTCTCTCAAATGCTTCTGTGAGGCAAATCAACCTTTTAGCATGTGAGCTTCTAAAGAAGTATGAGCTAGAGGCAGAACAGGTCTGGAAACTCGTTATTATCCTGCTGGAAGAAGATTTCGTGTGGCAGTAGAAGGTCTCAGTTTGTCTCAGTTTGATTCAGAACTGTCATTTGGGGTTCATCTCACAAGTTTCAATATAGACTGAAGGATTTGTATGTGTTGTACATGTTTCCTTAGCTTCCATTATTCCTTCTGAGAAGTTCTGTTATGTTGGTCTTACATATTTGATTTTCTGTCCGAGGTTCAAAGGAGATTAGGATTCGGATAGGAGCTGTATGCACAAGAGCTCTTTTCAAATGGTTTCCTACATGAGAATTCCTACCCCGTTTGCTGTTTCTTCTTTGGCCAATATTTGCATCATCTTGCGGCCTATAATCCTCAAGGTTGTTCTGTAACTGCAGAATTTAGCGAAGGGACGACGAGCTAACTTAGTGAGAAATACACTCGTGTTGGTTGATACCATTCTAGTTGAGCTTTGATGTTTAGTTCTGTAGTTAATCTGACGGGCCATTTAAATGTAAAACAAACGGTGCTGCAGACAGCACAATCTTAGGTTCACCTCAATAAGCTTCAATAGTCAAGTAAATTGCAGTTCAGCTTGATGCTCACAAACTAGTTTCATCAGGTGCACCGCCGCAAGGCCATTTTGGTCAGCTTGGATTTGATTAGTAGTGTTTATATCTGTCATCTGTTTAGAGTTCTAATCTGGCTTTGCTAAACCCTACAATTTGTTTGTAGTCAAGAATACCAGTCTGCCAATACATTTTGTTCTATGAAGGCGTTTTCAACCTCTGATTGCAAGTTGAAGCAGTTGGCTCAACACTGGGTGTTGGCACAACATCCATGCCATTCAACAGGGGTTCATTAAGATTTAAAGAGTCTTTTCCATTTGGTCAGCGGTTGGTCATCGGTGGTGGTGTTAGCTCACAATTTTCCTGTCTGAGACGTTGCAACAATAGTCAGTTTGAGGTGAAAAGTCTGGAGCTGGATCCTGAATTTAAGGGCCTTTTCCCAATTTACATGGATGAACTGCTATCACTTTTTAGTTCGGCTGATGATGGGCCTCCTGAGTCTGTATGATGAGCCAGCATGATTTGCCAAAAAAGGGTATTTGCAAATCTATGTTGCTTGAGATTTTCTTATGCCTACAAGTGATACACTAAGCCGTCTGCCCAGTCTAACGCCTCTGTTGAGATTAATTCACATGATTCTAAAAACACAAGAATATGAGAAACACACAATTGCAATATCATGTCCATTTGAATCCTACAAGATTTTGGTTTGTTTTGCTGCATCACATCCAGAGCAAAGCATTAAGTATTCCAATCCTTTAAATTTCCTCTGAAAATCCTTTGAATGAGCTGCCCTAAGAGGTTTGAGTAGGCCGGTGGTATGTTGATTTGGAGAGAGAACTAGATCTCTATAGAATTGATCTTAGGCTGATGTTCTGAAAGTCACTAAACCCTTCTGGGAGTTGATAGATGGATCTAATGATTGATGGAGGTGAAGCTACTAGATCAACAATTTTAATGATAGAAATATAAGGAGGCAATGCTAGATATTTCATTGAGTTGAGTACAAGAGAATTTTGGGTCACACGTCATTAGAAAATTGGATGATTCTTTGTGTGGTCGTGTTACTGTATAATCACTGCAATTAAGAACGAGCTGCTTGGGCCACTTGCATGTGGTAGAAGAATAAAAAGTTCGCCAGTGATTTGGAAAGTAAAGATCCGGCAAAGTTTGGGTATTTGTAGCACTCACTGATGAACTGTTCAAGGGATGCCCGGCTATGGCAATTTTTTGGTTATTGGTGGCGCTAAATTAGGACGACTTGGGAAAGGTTTTGGCGACAGCGTGGGTGATACAGTGGGTATGTCATTCTGCTATTCATGATGATGAATTTGAAACCCCAATATTGACCATGTGTTCACGGTTTTGGCTCATTCGCACCCACGGTCCAATTGCTCGGAGGCCCTACTAGTATATACGCAATGTTATGGATGAGGCTGCCTCCTTAGCTCTTAATCTTTGGCTCTGAGATGTCCTTGGAGTTATCAAAGATTTGATGTTAGATGAGAAGTATGCCCCAATCCCTAATGAGATTCTTAGTGAGTTTCTCTAGAAAAAAGCTCACTTTCAGGAGGCCTGTTTCGGCTTTGTGGAGAGGGACTAAAACACATGTTCTAGTGTAAGTTGCATTTTCTTTGGAAATTGGGGCCATGTGCAGCTTCTTTTTACTCTTGATATCATACATATGGAATAAAATTCTATTGTTGAGAGTGTTTGCTATACTGACGCATAGATATCAATTGGTTTCACTAAAAGAAGATGTTGACTAGAGGAGACATCAAGAAGGTTGGTCTAGACCGAAGGAAGTATTGAAATCTGAACTCAAGGATATGAAAATAAACACGGGCTAAGGGTCCGACATCTTTGATGATATTTTTTCGCACAAAAAATTATGGGCATGTAAAGAGTTTGCCAATATGTTCCTAAAACTAGATATGTGAATATTATAAACCATTGGCATGACTGTTATTTCGAAGATAGTGACAAATGCACATAGGAGTATAACCCACAATGCTTGTGTAACCTTCATATGAGAAAGATACTTCTTGATAAACTCGTGATTGATATTACATGAGTTGTAAATCTCTGGAAAATCCAGAACAATTCTCAAACTAGAATTGAGTGGCCATGGAGATGATAAGAACGAGGATGAAGTTTTAGAAATTGATGGAGAAGAGGTGCATTGGGATGTTGAGTTTGAAATTTATTTAAGAACTGAACATGATTAAGGTGCAACTTGGATCATGTTCTTTTAGCTTAATATAGTTTAACCATAGTGTTGCACCAGTCAACCAATAATTACCATTGCTAACTACACACCGTTCAACTGATTATTCTTCTAAGGATAGAACAAAGTCATAGAAAACTTGGGAAGAGGATAAGAGGGCAAGTGGTACGACCAACGTGCTTTGTATGAGGCTTTTGGCTCATTTGTTTAAGATGGTTGTATAGAAATATATAAAGGGACACAACCGCTGTCTAGGGTAGACTTGATTTAGACATAAACTTGAGAGTGTACCATACTTCAAAGGAACACCCTTGTCAAAATTTTACAATGTGTGTAGAACATAGTCAAGGATATCCTTGATTCGAAATTTTAGCAAGCTTAGCCTATAGATGATTTGTTTGTATATCAGTTCCTCAAATACTTATTTTGGTGATTTAGTGGTCTCTTTCTCAATCTAGAATGAGATGTTATTCCGAGAGAAATTCATGTTTTACCGCGCAAACCACTAGAGGTGAGCTAAGATATCTACCTTAAAGTGCATCTAATCCCTTTGGTGGGATTTTGGTAATTAATGTCAACATATCTTAAAGTGCATCTAATCCTCTAGGTGGATTTTGCTAATTAATGTCAACATATCTTAAGGAACTAATGCTTTTACTAGCTTATTTCAGGAGTATCCTTAGGTTACAAATGACATAAAAGGTGCCCCCCCCACCCCACAAATTCTCATGAAGATAAGTGTTGGACAAGCCAAGGACTTAGCCTTTCTATTTTAGTGATCCAAGATCACAAGTCCATAGGCATACTAATACTATAAAAGGAAGGTGGTTGCTAAGATGTGTTTCTTTCTCTTAAAGGTCAAACTCCAATTCCCTTGAAAGCTTTTATTTTGTCCTATATATTTGCCTAACTTTTACACCCTGGAGCTTTTACAAACCCTAACATTTCGGAGCTGCCAAGTACTCCACTCGGAACCAACAAAACATTTGGAAAAACCTTCGGTCGCCCTCTTGAAATTTTTGAATGCACCTGCTCGGAATTTTTGAAGTGGTAACAAACAGTGTGTCATAGATGCAGTAGTCTCCTCAAATCCTTTAGATGTTATCCAGTCGGACCATCCCAGCCACTTGAAAGTTGGCACCTTTAAGTCTATTCAAAGCTTCTGAGCTGTATTAAAGTGGGTGTAATGATCATATTTTTGGTCCAACCTATATATACCCCCACCTATCCCATTAGTTCACTCCAAGCAAACCCCACTCATGTCCTACAATCCGAGAGAGAACTCTACCTTCTTGTGCTGATTTCAAAGGGCTTTCTACTCCAACCATCAAGCTAATTCTCCAACCCAAAAGCCAAATCTTGAGAGATTTTGTGTGTGGAAGATATTATATTTTGAAGCACAAGAGCAAAGGATTCATCACCAAGCAACCTCAACCTTATTACTTTTGTAGGTGTGTGCCTCCTAGATCAGGTAGGTGCTAGGGGTCAAGATTATGAAGAAACCATGAAGTTTGTAGGCGGAGATTGCATACTTCATGAAGATCTACCTCGAGCGAGGCCAGTCATTCGTGGACATATGCCATGATGACATAGGTTGGTTGATCCTTTGTGGAGCCTTCGTGGATTATTGTTCCTCATGGGCTAGTTCCTTAGTGGAACTCGCAACCTTGATCTTCGTGATCTTAAATCCTTCTTGTATTGAAGCCTCCATCAACATGGAGTAGGATAGCGCTAACTATCTGAACCATAGGAACAATCTTCGCTGAGCCATCCAGTGTCTGCATTTTTCTAACTCTACTCTTATTCTACTTGCATATCTTTACTTTCTGCTCCCTATACTCTTGTAGAC